GAAATTCATTCATTTTATCTTTTTTTCATTCCTTTCATTATTTGAAAATGAACACACAATTTCAGATTTATATGGCAGGGTTTGACACTAAGCCACGTCCGACCGACCCAGTCTAGTAAATGAGTGGTCCGGTGTCGCATAATATTTGGTCCGCCTCGTTTAAAGGTCCGGGGGGACCTAATACGATAACATATAAGGTCCGCCTTTTATAAGAAAAGGTCCGGCCCGTATAAGAAAAGGTCCGCCTTAGTTTAAAGGTCCGGGTGGTGCAAAAATGTTTTAATCTTGACTTAAACACATAAAATTAAAGAGAGTTTGTTTACATCATATGGAGAAAGATTAAGGATTAACCCTTGCTGTTGTGTTTATTTTTTTGTACAATGTATCTCTTAGGGCAGGAATTGCTACTCCATGTTTAGTGTGCTTTTAGCAATACTGTTTAGGGCAATGATTTAAAAAAAATGTCGCATTTATTGGATTTGTGTTTGTTTTTCCCCAGCATTTGCTTTATGTAAATTAGGACGATTAAAGGTGTGAAATCTGCCGGTGTGTATAGGCAATAAAACAATGGGGGTGTGAAGTATACCTGACAGGTACCCGCAGGTAGAGCCCGCGGCAGATAGCAATGACAATGTAATGGTCATGTGTTTGCTTTAAACCAATAGATATGAATTCTCTATTTTAATAAATTATGCTGAAGAACAAATTATAATACTGTTATGATATTCATGCGTACACATCAAAATTCTAATATATATAATTATATATAGTCTATTTTTATTACAATATTTAAAGAAATTTCTTATTCCAAGTGTAGAGTTTAATACTAAGACCAATAAAAAATAAAAGTATGTATATGCTTCCCTTTAGTTTTAACAATTAACTTGTTTTCAGTTTATAATATTTTGCCCTTTATTTGTGGATAGGGTAATATATAGCCTAATGTTGTATTCGATCTATATTTACTGCAGAAACAAAATACATGTAATGTTAAAGCTTAAAACAGGTAACTCAATGTTGAAGACATATACATCAGATTTAAAGTATAATCATGGTTTGGATTCAATTCTTTCTTATAAAAATATTACTCTTCCTCGTCATAATGAACTACATATGAAATAATGTTTCATTTTTGTATTTTTTTTTTTTTGCCAAAAGAAAAAGAAAGAAAAAGAAATTACACATTTTACTGTGACTACATGTATAATAGACAGACTGTGGGATAATCTAGCAGGCTGTATTGCATGACCGATTAAAATTTGAAATCATTATTGGAAAATATTTTCTTTTATTACTGACATGAAGCATTTTGGGCAAAGTTGAATGTCCAGTTCTATATACAAGTCATTTATGTATCTCACGTCTGTATGAACGGGGGAAGGGGGAGGGAACATCAGTTGATCCTCTTCCTTTTTTTGCGTATCAAAGAATTTCTATTTTCTACATTAATTTGTGGAATAAACCCCCCCCCCCCCCAATGCACCCAGAAATATACTGACTGACTGTTTCTGGGGACGTAGTCAAGCGTGCGTCACATTTCCCATTTCAAGCTACATGATATGTACATTTTCGTGATGTCGACTAGAAGCGTTTCAGTCTAGTTTTAAATCAAAAATATATTTCTTTTATAAAACGCTGATTATTTATGATTATTTATTTTATTCATTTATGGAAAGTGGCAACTTACGGTTATCCGGAGAAAAAAAGGTAATTCATGGGATTTTCCATCATGAGAGTCCAAGCTGCAGACAGCTCAGTATTACGTTACGCTACAACTCCATACCAAGTAGCCCTGGAGAATTGACACTGTATGGAGTATGACTGAGAGTCATACTCTCCGGGAACTACTTTCCCTGCGAATAATGATATGGAGTAATACTGAGCTGTCTGGAGCTTGATTGAGAGTGATCTCCCGTGTAGAATTTTACGCATTATAATAAAAGGTCCGCCCTCTATATTTCAGATATCTTACTATTAAAAGGTGAAAATTTTGAACAGGGTTTATTTTCGTAGCATAAAAACTAGAGAAAGAGGCAGGGCGAACCTTAAAACGCAGTATAATAAAAGGTCCGCCCTCTGTATTTCAGATATTGTACTGTTACAAGGCGAAAATTTTGAACAGGGTTTATTTTCGTAGCATACAAACTAGAGAAAGAGACAGGGCGGACCTTAAAACGCAGTGACGTTACGCACGGTGTTGGTGACGCTTTGAATTGATTTTCCTTCTAATGAGAATATCGGCATGCATTACTCTATAATTGTGTAAATAAATAATACCTCTTGAGTACTTTGCTTCAAAATAAATTAGAAAATCTTTTGAAACTCGGAAATATGTCATTATTTTTTATTTTATCTACATTAAGATATTAATACCTTTGATATTTATGCATAGACACACATGTAGACTGGTAACGTTTGAGGCATATACTCAAAATTGTAATACATATATGAGCGATTTATAAAATTGTAATATTGATAGTTTTTATATCAGTCGGCGGGAAAAAGCATCGTCTTTATGACATCATAAGTAATTTGACGTAAAAATCGTTAGATCTGAGTGAATACGCCCTTTAACGCATGAAGATAGAAGGTAGACTTCGGAAAAAAAAGAGGGGATAAATTCAAAGTTTGATCAGGTAAGGGTGTTTATGGAGATGTGTTGTATATTTTTAAAGTACTGGAAATTTGATTTACACAAATATCTATCAAAAACAGATGCTTACAAGAGTTCTTGAAAAATTTTAGGTTCATTTTTAAATCCTTTTCAAACGTTTTAGCATTTATTTGAAACTCATATCATATAAAACCCCTATGTCACGTTATGTTTTTTTTTAAACATTGTGATTCCATATAATCCTTACTGTTTGATTTTTTTAGTCCGTCGTATAAATTTCAGAAAAAATATGCAATTTAATTCTGAAAGGAGTGTATCAAGGATCTGCTTAAACATTATTTTATGAATTTCAATGCATAAAAATAGCTCATGTGGAATTTCGCATGTTTTTACTTGTCCGTCACAGGAAATCTTTCACGGTTTCATGGCGTCTCATAATATAAACTAGCCCTATTTAGTCCAAGTTTATAAGACTTATTTATATTTCAATTCCTATTATTTTACTCATGGTCTATAATCTCCTACTATGCTTTTTATTAATTGGTTCCAAAACGTTTTTTGTCTCAAAATATGATACGAAATTCTAACTGAATCTCTGTCTACTCAAATGTCCTCGACAGTGTTTCTAATGTTTTTTCTGTGATTTTAAATGCTATGGTACCGAACTCGTACTCTTTGAAAACAATTATTTCAAACACTTGATAAGTTTTCAAAAAAACTCTTTATTCTCTAAAAATTATACCCATATTAGACTTTCCTGTTCCTTTGTTTTGCAACAGAAATGATATTCAATGAATTAATGAAGAAGTTTAATTGTTCTACTAATTTGTCTATCTACAGGATTTTGACGTGATCTGCACTTATGACGTCTCGCGACAAAAAAGCGCAGATGTTCACGGTTTAGATTCACCTTAATTAAGACACATCAACACATTCATTGTTAAACCCAGAAAATTGTAAATGGAGGGGATGCACAAAATGAAAGGGGGAGGGGGGGGGGGTAGAGGGAATTCACAACCTGACTGCTTAGACAGTTTTTACAGTCTACATCCCATTTACATTTCCTTTTCCTCTTTGGGAGACATGGGAAAGTTTTAAGACTTACAATTCATCAGTACATACTAATTTTTATGAAGGCTTTTGTTCATTTCTCAAGTGTAGTTTTGTCTGCAAAAAGATGGAGGTGGTGGTGGTGGGTGGGTGGGGGGTTCTGACCACTCCTCTGGATCCGCCCTTGGAATGACGCACATGTTACGTATACAGTATGATTATAAACAGATAACGATATGGGACAAACTTTAAATTTTAAAAAATCGGAACAATACGTGGTATGTATATTTTTTTTTTATATTGCCAATTACCGTCGGCAAATTGAATTCAAATACCGAAAATTTCTGCTATCTAAATCAAATATGAATTTGATTACATTAGATATAAATGTATGTTTTTGCTGAATTGTGGCAAATGAACAGTTTATAAGGGGTTATTGTATACAGTTGTCATAGACAATATGAAGGGAGCGAATCAAAGAAATACATGTATAGCTTTCATTAAAAGGTAATCAATTTAAAACAACAATATATTATGCATACCAGCGCAATTTTTCATGTCGACAAAACTAAGGCCTATATACTAATTCTTCAGTGTGTTTTAAGAAAAAGAAATGGTGTTATCAATGTTGAATTGCTAGCAACGCTCCCGTCCCGTTCGATTCAGTACGATATACAGAGATGCAGAATCGGCTTTAAAAAGTTTAGGGAGGGGGGTAAAAAGTATCAAATTAAGACAATTTTTAGGACAGAAAAATTCGACGAGAACAAAAAATGTTTTGGAAATAAAGTATATTATTATCATTCAAAAACATGCATTAGTAAAGGGAAGAAAATAGTTTCTCTCTCTCTTTTATTCAGTCTTTTACATTAAAATATTTCGGGGTGAAGTCTCCTCAGAGACCCCATTTTAATCCGCGACAGGTGTGCCTACGGCTCTTTGGATTGGATAGCATAGATATTATACATTAAAATTAAGGATTACATTTTTTTTTTTAAAGAATTAAAAAAAAAAGAATAAAAAAACCCTTATTTTTTTTCTAAACATATTTGGTAAATTTAATCTTCTTGGCTCTAAACAAAATTGATCTAAAAGTATTCCTTATTTTTCCCCTTGTTGGGGGGTGGGGTAATCTTAAATGATATTGTTTCACATGTACCTAAAAGAGGACCCCCAGCCATTATGTTGTCTATGAAACATTCAATAATAAATTCAAATTTCATTCCTTATTGGATGACATATGTATAGATATATTGTATGATAACTATTTTTATCGTTCCTTAATATATTAGTTTACATATAAATTATAAAATTTGTATCATATATTGGTACAGGTATGTCAAATTGCTCAACGATCAAAGAAAAGAGAGAGGAAATACGCAGAGAACAAAAGAGAAAATGGAAACAAAAACAAAAATTATTGAGACCAGCAAAGGAGTTGTCTCAATCTATAGCTGCTGTAAAGAAGAGGCAGCAGAGAGAGAGGCTTGCTCGGAAAAAAGAGGAAGAACGTGAAAAAAGACAACAAGCTACAGAAAGAAAGCGGAAAAGTAGGGCAGTCCTTAAGAGTAAACAGATTCAAGAGAAATTAAAGAAGGAAGAAAAACGCAAGAAAAACACAGAGAAACAAAGACGATGGCGAGAAAAGAAAAAAATACTCAAGCAACACAATCTTCCGCTCACACAAGAGGAACAACAAATATTTCAAAATAAAATGAGCAAATCCCGTGCAATAAGAAAGTTAAAGGAAGCTCTTCCTAGGACACCTCTAAAACGTATTGCAATTGTAAAGGCGTACTTGTCCTCAAAGAAATCACCCACGGTTAAGGAACTACAGCGTAGAAAGGTTGTACCATCACCGGAAGAACGCAAAGAATTGGAAATGAATGAATCGGTTATACAGGATGTGAAATCTTTCTTAATTCGGTGAAATTTAAGAGGAGTGATAAGTCGCGGGAAGTCGTCGACATTCTAGCTGCATCTGTATCAGGACCATTAGTTCAAAAATCGAGGGCCAAAGTTGACCTTGCGAGAAAACTCGGAATGCCAGTTAGAAGGATCTCAAAGGGTGTTCGAATCCGACAACGAGTTTTGCATTCAGAACAATCATCCTTTGAGTTTACAAAAAGGAAAACAAGGTCAGATAAACTAACTGAAGAAGTTCAAAAAACAGTATATGATTTTTGGTGTCTACCTGAAAATTCGCGGCACACTGGAAATAAAACTGATGTCAAGCGTGTCCGAATAGGTCCAAAAACTTACTGTAGCCATGCTATTCAAATTCTAGAAAAAACACAGAGTGAACTGTTCATGTCTTTTAACCAACATTATCCTGAAATTCAGATTTCACAGAGAACAATTGAAAAATGTAAGCCATATTTTGTCCGATCTGCAAGGAAAAAGGATAGAACAACATGCTGCTGCAGGTATCATCTAGAGAGCAAGTTTTTGTTCAACGCTTTCAAGGCACGTAGAAATCAGTTGGCAAACGATGGGTTGCTGGACGAAAACACATTTAAGGTTTACAAAACAATTTCGGAATTATGTGAAGATACGATGTGCCATACGGAGGATGGAAATTTACATTTGAAAGACTGTTTAGAAAGAAGCTGTGAAAAATGCGGTGTTCATTTGCTGAAATTTTGTGACGCTGAATTAGATATGTGTGACGATTCGCCAGATGTAAACTGGAAAAAATTCGAGTATGTTGACATCAAAACAAAAAATGGCACCAAGAAGAAACTGACATTGGTAGACAAAATAACAAAGTCCGGTGAGATGATAAAGTATTTTAAGAAGGTGTTGGGGTTTTTCCCAGGTCATCATTTCAGGGCCAAATGGCAAACGGATCAGCTGAAAAATCTTGCCGAAAACTTACCGGAAAACGAATGTTTAACAGTTCATGATTTCTCGGAAAACTACCGATGTAGTGAGCAGATTGAAATCCAGTCAAACTATTTTCAACGAACTGAGGTTTCCATTCACATTTCACTGATTTATAGACATGCTATTTTAGAAGTTGACGGTGTATCGAGCACCCCCGATGACCCTTATATTATTTGTGAACATTTTTTTCTTATTTCTCCTGACGAAAAGCACGACCATCATTTTGTTAAATGTGTTCAGAAATTGATATCTGAATATTTGCAGTCCATCAATTACCCGCTCTCTACAATGCATGAGTTTTGTGACGGATGTCAAAGCCAATATAAAAGCAGGAACTGTTTGGGAAATCTCGTTCATTCCGTTGACGAGCTTGGATATCAGAAAATGATACGAAATTATTTTGAAAGTAGCCATGGTAAAGGACCACAGGATGCAGCGGGAGGTTTACTTAAGAACCAAGCTGATATGGCTGTTATCCGCGGGAAAGCTCAAATAAGATCTGCGCTTGATTTATTTAATTTTGCAGAGGCTAATCTCAGGACACCGCGATCTCATGCCTGCAAAAGAAGAATATTTCGATATATTGAAGAAATCCCGAGGTTTGAAGAGAACTTTCAGCCAATTAAAGGAATTCGAGCCGTACATCGAGCAGAAACATCTAAAGACGGGAAAATCATATTACGTAATATGTCGTGTTACTGCGACAGTTGTCTAGAAGGGGAAAAGTGTGAAAATTTACCTCAAGTTGGACTTTCCAAAGAAATGAAAATGAAGTCGAATAGCGAATCTACACATCAGGATCCTGACATTTCTGAGGAAGAATATACCGAGGCAGAAACACTCTCAGATTTTATTACTGAAGGAACAGTGTTTGCTGTTCTGTGCACAGGGGATGACGACAATGACTTTTATCTTTTACAAGCCACATCAAAGAGCAAAACTCTACGGAAAGCCAAAACAGACAAGTGGGGTGGATCGTTTGTTGCAGGGTCAACAGTCATCCACGGAAAATATTTTGCTAAAAAGGAAAACTCAATCTTGGACTATAAGCTAATAAAACGCCCAGTAGCCATGGTTCCAAGTGCATCTGTACTGTTTATATGCCAAAATGTATCTATACAAAACGAAATTCTTCACCTAACCGAAGAGGAAAATGAAGATATCCTGGAATGCGTCGATTTGTGCGTGTTAACACACTAAATTGATATTAAATGGCATCTAAATATTTTTTAGAATTGATTTCAAACCTGTATTTTTAACAAATTTAAAGAAAGTTAATTAATACGGTAAAGAACAGTTTTGCCTGTTTTTGACATGAACGTTTTTCACGCTACATAATAAACATATTCACTCATTAAACTTCCAGTTTCTTTTCATTTTATTTTATTTTATTTTTTTACTTTTAACATAGAAATGGATTTAAGGGAACTCTAAATTCTAATGAAAACGTTTTTTTTTACTTTGAGATCTTTTATATAAACGTGTAGATACTTCAATTTCAACAAGGGTACTAGTACCTAGCTACAACATTCACCAAGAAAAAATATATAAAGATGTTTAAAGAAAATGAAGTATTCGCTCATGTTTACGTACATGCAATTAATGTATTCAGGGTTTTTTTGGTCAATATTACTTTCATTTTATTTCAAATTGTGTCATTTACTGAAGATTTCCATTTATTCCAACTTACATAAAAGGGCAGATCACTTTAAATTCATAAAACATATGGATTAGAACTCTTCAGTATGCAGTTAAACCTTTATGAAAGTTTTACTAAGTCGCTGATTGATATGAGTAATTTTTACGTCCCGTTTACGTGACGTTAAACGTCATTTATAACGTTACCAAATGTGACACCAACACCGTGCGTAACGTCAGTATATTTAAAGGTCCGCCCTCTATAATTCAGATGTCTTACTGTTAGAAAGCAAACATTTTGGACAGGGTTTATTTCCGTAAAATAAAAACTAGTCAAAATGGCAGGGCGGACCTTAAAACGCAGTATAATAAAAGGTCCGCCCTCTGCTTTTCTGATATCGTACTATTACATTCTGTACTGAAGCGTACTGAGTATTTCCTATGGTGGATAATAAAGCCGGGGTTGTTTCTTCCAAGCTCGCTGCATGTCATTTCCGAAATTTTGCATTGCATTTCCGACATTTTTTGTTTTCATTTTAGAATACAATCAACACTAAGTCTAGTAAAAATACAAAGTTTAGTAATAAAATGCAATAATTTCAATAATAAAACAATCAATTTTTGATCACCAAATTTTAATGCCCACTGAATTATATGTGTTTGAAAGCACCGAAAAACAGAATCCCCTCAACTTTGATTACTTTATTCCCTCAAACATAGTTTCTGTATGTCATAAATTCTGTCTTAACCTTTCTGATCTCAAATTCAGTCTGATTATCTTGATTTGAAAAGATGAACAAAAATTCACAACTTACACTTACATGTGTCCGAGGATAAAATCATCATAAGATTCTTTTAAATATAAGCAGAACTTATTATTTGGAAATCAATGAATTATTCTTGATTTATTCTTTAATTTTTTTTATAAGGGAAATTTCAATTTTGTTTTCATTGCCGGAAAAGTACTTTATGATGATAAATGTCAGAGATGAAAATTTTAAAACGTCAGAAATGAAAACTACAAAAATGTAGGGAATGAAATAAACAATATTTAAAAAAAAATTCCGGAAATAAAATCCTATGCTAGGCTCCTTTTCCAAAAGGGGGAGGGGTCTTTAAACCCAAGCTCGTTTTTCCGGGAAAAAATATTAATGCGGGAGGAAAGTATACAACATCAGTACTTTTTAAACTATTTGACATGTATTAGCATAATTTTGCTATACCCCACCCACCAAATGTACAACACCACCATTTCAAATCTTTTCCATTTGGGGGGGGGGGGGGTTATTCCTTAAAATGTTCAACTCGATTGACTTTGATTTTGCCAATTAACGCACATCTTCCTTAACCAGTGTTAACCCCGGGGTAATATCAAGTAGAATGAAATAATCGTTAGTCTTTAACTGGATAAGAAACGATGGTTATAAAAACACGGGGGATATGCGACTTCAAGTTTCGTCAGGTGAGACAATAGGCCTACCCCCCAAAGCACAGACATGTTGTTTTAACAACAACGGGATAGGCTAGTACACCGTAACACAAGTCCCTGTCACAGTGACCCTCCAATTATTTTATAGTTAGGTACAATATGAATTGTAAGAATTACGCATAATTATTATTAATGATATAATGAAATATCTTTCGAAAGATATGAAAATTCTTTTTGGGAAGTGGAAGTCGAACGTTGTTAGGAAAGAGACTGTTACAGTAATGAAATGATCATTGTTGGACTTACGAACACCATATACTGAACAATGTGCCAGTGAAGGTATGCGTATTATATATATGTATTTTTTTTTATTTTGCAATGATAATATTGATATCACTTAAACTATAAAAGACACATGTCGTACATGATTTTCCCATAAGGTAACTCGATCAACAGATCTTTGCATCTTTATATTTTTTGTTTTGTGCACTATCTGTGAGGTATGCATGGTATGTACTACGATAAGGAGCTAACAGTTAATCAGTGCTAACATCAAATTTTGAATAATTTTTGATAGATAATTTGAGGTTTTGTACCGAGATATATCATAGTATTAGAAAATAATTTAATATAATTAATTAAAATTGGCTAACGAAATCCAGTAACTAGCGAGATATCGCAAGACTTGATCCTTTTAGTATATATACAATATGTACATACATGTACATGTACGTCCCTGGAACTCCATTTTGCTGGGAGGGACACTTTTATAACAACTATACCTTAAATAATTTAAAAAGATTAATAAATCAAATTAATTCTGAATCAATAAAGGAGAAAAATCTGCATATTAAACCGAAGGCGGACCTTTTATTATAGAGGCAGGCCGGACCTTATATGTTATCGTATTAGGTCCCCCCGGACCTTTAAAAGAGGCGGACCAAATATTATGCGACACCGGTCGTGTAAAATGTTCG